TAGACAAATGGGACCTAATCAAACTCCACAGCTTCTGCACAGCAAAATAAACAATCATTAGAGTGAATCGGCAACCAACAGATTGGGAAAAAATTTTTGCAGTTTACCCATCTGTCAAAGGCCTGATATCCAAAATTTACAAAGAACTAAAACAGATTTACAAGAAAAAAACTAACAAGCCCATTCAAAAGTGGGCAAAGGATATGAACAGACACTTTACAAAAGAAGACATACATGAGGCCAACAAACATATGAAAAAATGCTCATCATCACTGGTCATCAGAGAAATGCAAATCAAAACTACATTGAGATACCATCTCACGCCAGTTAGAATGGCGATCATTAAAAAATCTGGAGACAACAGATGCTGGAGAGGATGTGGAGAAATAGTAACACTTTTACACTGTTGGTGGGAGTGTAAATTAGTTCAACCATTGTGGAAGACAGTGTGGCGATTCCTCAAGGACCTAGAAATAGAAATTCCATTTGACCCAGCAATCCCATTACTGGGTATATATCCAAAGGATTACAAATCGTTCTACTATAAGGACACGTGCACACGAATGTTCATTGCAGCACTCTTTACAATAGCAAAGACCTGGAACCAACCCAAATGCCCATCGACGATAGACTGGATAGGGAAAATGTGGCACATATACACCATGGAATATTATGCAGCCATCAAAAACGATGAGTTTGGGTCCTTTGTAGGGACATGGATGAACCTGGAAACCATCATTCTCAGCAAACTGACAGAAGAGCAGAAGATCAAACACCGCATGTTCTCACTCATAGGTGTGTGTTGAACAATGAGAACACATGGACACAGGGAGGGGAGCACTACACACTGGGGTCAGTTGGGGGGAAATAGGGGAGGGACAGTGGGGGGTGGGGAGCTGGGGAGAGATAGCAAGGGGAGAAATGCCAGATGTAGGTGATGGGGAGGAAGGCAGCAAATCACACTGCCACGTGTGTACCTGTGCAACAATTTTGCATGTTCTTCACATGTACCCCAAAACCTAAAATGCAATAAAATAAATAAATGGGAAAAAAAAAGAAAAAAGACTAACAATAGGAAGAATTAACAAGGCAGAGACTCTTGTGTGTGTGTGAAAAGATTAATACAATTGAGAAGACAAAAAATGAAGAGAAAAGTACAAATTATCAATATCAGGAACAAAACGTGGCTTATTACCACTATTCTACAGATGTTTAAAAGATAATCAGTTGTTTAAAAGATAATCAGAGGGCATTTGTATAAACATTATGCAATATTGACAATCTAGAAAAATAAGTAAGATCTTTGAAAAGCAAAATTTACCAATGTAACAGAACAGGAAAGATAACAGCTCCTTAGCCCTATATGTTGAATACATTTAATTTGTAATGAAAAACGTTCTCACAAGGAAAATTTCAGGCCCTGAGTTTCACTCATGAATTCTATCAAACATTGAAGAAAGAAAGAATGTGAATTTTATATTAACTCTTTTGAAAAATAAAGAAGGAAACATGTTCCACTTGTTTTATGAGGACAGTATTACTCTGATTTCAAAACCTGGTAAAGATATTTCGATTTAAAAAAACCTAAAAATAATGCTCCTTGTGAACAAAGACGCGATAATTTGTAACAAAAACACTAGCAAATCAAATCTTACAAGGCATGAAGGGGAATACAATATGATCAAATTAGCAATATACTAGAAATGCAAGATTGGTTTCTATTAAAAAAATCAATCATGTAATGGAGTACATTAATAGAATAAAAGAGAAAAGCACTGGACAAAATTCAACACACATTAATGATGAAAAACTCTTAGCACTGTAGGAATTAAAGGTATCTTCCTCACTTTGAAAACCCTACAGTTCACATCATGCTTAATGCAAATACTGAGAGCTTCCTCCTAATATACCAATGTCCACTCCAACCACTAAGTTAAGACTACATCTTGACCCCTACCTCATAAGAAACACACAAATTAATTTGAGAAGGAACATAATTTTCAGGAAGTAGAATAATAAATGCAATAACTTACTCTGTAGATTTAATTCTGACAGAAAATAGTTCTATTAAGACATACACAATAAATATGTAAAGATTTTTATATTCACCAAAATCTCAATAAAGTGGTTAAAATAGAGACATAATTTCAGTCATAGCGGAAAATTATAATATGTCCAGAAAATGATTATCAACAAGTTATTTTCCAAGGCTATTTTGAACAATAATAACGGAGAGTGGGAGTGGGGTTAGTAGTAATAGTATTTTTCTTTAAAAAATATTTTTGAGTAGATTATTCACTCACCTTATGCAAAAATAAAAATTATATTAAAACAAACAAAAAATGAGATCTTTAATTCAACATAAACTATACATAATCAAAGAAGGCATGGTATCTGCCCACACTTATGTGAATCTAAAGTAAATTTCTTTTGTTTTTTGAGACGAAGTCTTGCTCTGTGGCCCAGGCTGGAGTACAGTGGTGTAATTTCAGGTCACTGCAACCTCTGCCTCCCAGGTTCAAGCAATTCTGTCTCAGCCTCCTGAGTAGCTGGGATTACAGGTACCTGCCACCACGCCCATCTAAATTTTGTATTTTTAGTAGAGACGGGGTCTCCCCATATTGGGCAGGCTGGTGTGGAGCTCCCGATCTTAGGTGATCCACCTGACTGTGCCTCCCAAAGTGCTGGGATTACAGGTGTAAGCCACCAAGACTGGCCCCTAAGGTAAATTTCTATGTAGGTATGAGATGTATGCATATACTTTCAAAATAAAAATAAAACAAAATTAATTAAGGGATTGAATAATAGATAATGCTTTACTGTTTAACATTGAAGCAGTAAAATTATACTGATGTTTTTGAAGTTACTGCATTCATTCATATTTTCTTAGAAACTTGCATATGCCTCCTGGTCCAAAAACACATGGAAACAAAATCTCTACCCTTTCGAAGTTTACATTCTTTGTGGTGGAGCGACAGCAAACAAATTCACTTTTAGTTTTCAGTACATTATGTAATTACTAGAAGTTACATAATATACTGTTTGTCCATGAATTAGAAATTCAATGATTAAGTTTCTTTCTGAGAGACTAATAATTAAATGACCATTATAAATTTGAAATAAACTCAGAATTAGCTTATTCGCTTTGTCAGTAAAATACCATAGACACGAATTAGTCATGGATGCTTTCCTGTCACATTCTTACAAGTTTAAAATTTGTTCTTCTTTATTGTTCTTTACTGTTTATTTAACCATGTTAACTCTCTTTTGGAGGATACACTTACACCTACCACCTCAGCATATAAGTGTGTTTACATATCTCTTTACGACAACAAAGTAATGACAGCTAGCATACAGTGAGGGCCTTTACTATGTGCTGGTCACTTGTCTTCACATTCATTCCCTCATTCACTCTTCCTGACACCTCTAGAAAGTATGTCCTGTTATTAATCCACTTCACTGAGGAGTAACCTGAACAATTTGTGCAAACTCACATAATAAAGTGTTGGAATTGAGTCCACTTTGTCATGATGTCTATACTTACAGAGGTATTTACATACTTGTAGTTTATCTACTTTATATATACCATTACATAGACTTTATGGAAAAAGAAAATGATCCAAGTGCAGAAAAAACAACATAACCTCTTTAATATTTTTAAACTCAATGATCCTTATATACACAACTGGCTTGCAAGTAGATATTGATACATTAAAAATATTTTGAAGAGGAATGGCTGCTTATAGTCTCTTTTTAAACTTAATAAAGTGCTTTAAATCTATGATTTGAATCAAGATTTTTCTGTGATTTATGGATGAGTTCTTCATTTATAGATAGATGAAGAATAAGTCCTACATAGAGATCTGAATACAAAGTGTAAAATCAATTGTGTTATCCCCAATCCCTGCTGCCCTGAAATCTGGCATAGTCATATCTGTTGCACTTCCGGGTCATGCTTGGAACTGTAAACTCTCTATCTAGCCAACACCTAATGGGACACTTCTGGAATACCCAGGGGCCGACATCCCGCTCTGCTGTCTCCTGCCATCACACCCTTTGAGTTGTATATTAACAATGATCAGCCAAGTAGAAGAGGCAGGTGCCCTATTGCATAACACGGAATAGGTAGTTAAAGTACATACATTCTATCTTACCCACCATCCCTACAACAGACAAATGAAACAGATAGTAGTGTTTTATCTAGAAACAATGTTATAATCATTTAGGAAACTATTTTAGGGAATGATGACCAAAGTCAATAATAGTAAAAGTTTTTTTCCTAACATGTAACTCACTCTAATATCATGAAAAGCTTCCTCAGTGAAGCTTCAGGTTTATTATGTTAGCACACTCCCCATTTTGCCACACTGAGAAAGGTTCCTAAATGTACACTTTGCATTTGCTTCATCTACTTTCCCACCAGCTTACATTTTCCAGTCTGTGTTGTTTTGAATACTTGTCTTTAAAAATTGGACAAAACAAGAGTGGGGAAGCAGAGACATAGAACAAAGAGTACATAAACACTGTTTGCAAAATCTGACACAAAGGTTATTTTCATTAAAATTACAGAGATATCTTTGCTGATCATCTAGATTAAAATGCAGCCAATACTTAAACTTACCCTGGTTTTGTGTCATTTACTACACAGTGATAAGTAAATGTTCCAAACATTTGAACTCCTAAAATTCCATAAAGAAGTAGAAAGAAAAGCAGGAAAATGGAAACACTCCATATCTGTTCTCCCGATCGCCTAGAAAAAAGAAAAGGAGGTAAAATATGCAAAACTTACAAAAAACTTCATAAACTTTGGTTCTTAACTTGTTGTAAAGCAGTGCTTACTTTAAAATATTTGTAATTCTGGTCCTTGGCAGTTCAAATCGGAAATAAATCCGGAAAGCCCGGATCATAATTAGTGGCCGAGGAATCCGCAACATGCCCCAAGGTGACATCTGATCAACTATGTCAGCAATTTCAAACACCTACAAATTACAAAATGGGTAAATGAGGTGGTTATTTTCCCTTAGCATTGCTTATCATAGTGGAATGTACACCTCTACTCTCAATTTAGCCCTACATTGTTTTCCACCAAAATCCACTTCTTTTTTAGTATATTTTGAAGCTATAGCTATCTTAACAGAAACAAATACATAAACTAATGAGAACATCATTAATCTTGTTCATTTCCTGTCTCATTCATTAAAAAAAATTAATTCCAACTTAGAATAGAAAATAAGCATGCTGTCTTTTTTATTAATAATGTTCTTTGGTGGAGGCTTTTGAGTCTCTAGAAAATAAAGTAATGGAGAAAGGGTTAAAAATATGAAAAAAGAATTGCACTATTTATTAACAGAGGCAAAATAATAATTAGAAATGTTTGTCAAACACACAACAGTTATTAAATAGAAAAAAAAACACATTAATATGAGAAACAATTCAACCTGAGAAAGCTGATTAAAAAACTATATGAGTGATGAAATTAAATTGTGGGAGAGGTGAACTTTATAAAATTAAGAAGGGAAAGCTTATCAATAAAAACTATGATGAGTTGGCAAAATGGACTGTGAACTTTTGAACTCTGAATTTTTAAATGAAGAATAGATGAATAAACTCCAGAGACCTGTACATCATTGCAGCTATAGTTAACAATAATTCATTGTGCACTTAAAATTGGTTAAAATAGTAGATCTCCTGGTAGGCATTTTTACCACAGTCAAATAAAAACAGATCAAATCAAAATATACAGTAACTTTAGTTGAATTAAAAGGTGAAATCATGTCTGAATAAATGCATGGAAATTAATTCTACTTATTTTCCAATCAAATCTCTCCTGTAAGCCTTTTTAATGTATGTTCCCCTTCTCTTATAATAAAACATTTAATTTTTGAAATATAGTCTTTTATGTTGGCTAATACCTATCCAAATATGTGAAGACTAGACTTTAAATTTTTAAGTTCAATTTTTTATTTGCAAATACAGAATTATGACTCCACATTGTATCCTTCATTTCAGTGAATATATTTTATATCTGATGAATAACTAATAGTTTTCTATAGTATTGATTTTCATTTCTGATTGAGAAATAATTCACAAATGTAACTGATCATAATTAAGATATTACAGCTATTGACTTTTCTATCAATAAAATATTTGAGGTAATAGAAATGCCAATTATGCAGATTTGATCATTACACATTATATGCATGCATCAAATATCACTTACTACCCTATAAACACATACAAGTATTATGTATCAATTAAAAATAGTTTTTCAAATTTCAGATATGTCAGAGTAAACAGATTAATCACATCTGTTAAAAAAGAAAATAAACATAATATTATAGGCAATTACACAATCACATTTGATATATACTCTTGAATATTTCTATTTAGACTTTCAATGCCAAATGGTTCCCATTTTGGAGAACAACCCTTGTAATTCAAAAAATATTTAATTACCTGTAGCACCAAAGAAACCCAAAGGCAAAAGACCATGAATCCATCAAAAACACACCAGCGATCTTTCACATAGGAACTGTCCCCCTAAAAATAAATTTTACATGGCATCATTAGGCAAAACAAATATTTTAAAGAAAAATCTGTGGAGGAAAATGTCAAATGTCAATTCAATAAAAGCTACCCACAAGTTTTGTATCATAATTGAACAGACTTTCAAAAGTTTAGCATTTTAAGTAGTATAACTTATAAGAAAAATAATTTATGAGAGACAACTTCAGAACTTTGCATGGAAAATATTTAATTCATGCAAAGAGAAAATATCACTGTTTTCTTCTCTCAGCCACACAAATTCTAACACTTAAAGAACTAGGAGCCATTCTTCCAATTATGCTACCTAGGTCCTAAACCAGCTCCCTGCCTATAAGAACCAAGAGCACACTGTGGTCAACAGGAAGGCCTTTAAAACTGCTAAGTCCAGCACCTCCAGCAGGAAAATTAAACAGCCGTTCACTTCAAGCTGAATAAAAAGTGAAGAAGAAAAAAAAGCTAAGCTCATCATCATTGGTCATTAGAGAAACACAAATCAAAACCACAATGACAAGAAACAACAGATGCTGGAGAGGATGTGGAGAAATAGGAACACTTTTACGCTGTTGGTGGGAGTGTAAATTAGTTCAACCATTGTGGAAGACAGTGTGGGTATTTCTCAAGGATCTAGAGCCAGAGATATCATTTGACCCAGCAATCCCATTACTGGGTATATATCCAAAGGATTTTAAATCATTCTGCTATAAAGACACAAGCACACGTGTGTTTATTACAGCACTATTCACAATAGCAAATACTTGGAGCCAACACAAATGCCCATCAATGTTAGACTGGATAAAGAAAATGTGGCAAATATATACCATGGAATACTATGCAGCCATAACAAAGATGAGTCTATGTCCTTTGCAGGGACATGGAAAAAACTGGAAGCCATCATTGTTGGCAAACTAACACAGGAACAGAAAATCAAACACCGCATGTCCTCACTCATAAGTGGAAGTTGAACAATGAGAACACATGGACACAGGGAGGAGAATATTGCACACTGGGGCTCTGTTGGGGGTGGGGTGCTGGGGAGGGGTAGCATTAGGAGAAATACCTAATGTAGATGATAGGTTGATGGGTGCAGCAAACCACCATGGCATGTGTATGCCTATGTAATAAATTTGCATGTTCTTCACATGTATCCCAAAACTTAAATTACAATAAAAAAAGACCTAACTATCCTAAATATATATGCACTTTACACAGGAACACTGAAATTTATAAAGAAAGTTCTTCTAAATGTTCAAAGAGACTTACAGTTCTGCACAATAATAATGGGATATTTCAACACCGACAGTATTAGATCATGGTGAGGGGGAACAAAGATTTTCAGAACCTAAACTCAGCCCTGGGTCAAATGGATCTGACAGATATCTACAGAACTTTTCACTATATATATGTGTATGTATATATATATATGCATATATATATATATACATACACACACATTTTTTATCATTGTCACATAGCACATATTCTAAAATCAGCACTTAGACATAAAACACCTCTCAGAAAATGCAAAAAACTGAAATCAAAACAACCATTCTCTTGGACCACAGTGCAATAAAAATAGAATTCAAGACTAAGAAAAAAATTAAAGAAGCAGCAGCTTGTTTTAATTTTCAAGGAAAACATATATTGACCCTAATTTTAATTGAGATTGTATATGCAAAAGAAAGATGAAGATGAACCACTTTCATTTTTGAATAGGGAATCTATTCTGACATTAGAATGTATGCTTTAATAACATGGAAATTTAAAAATGCCTTTAGAATAACAAAATGCAAAGAATTCCAAAACCGAAAACTGAAATTTTATGGGACTCAGCAGAGAACTATGTGAAAACTGGAGCAATTAATGAGTAAATTCTAGGCAGGAAAAGAGTAATTACAGATCATTGAGTACACAGGCACCCAAATAGGATGAATTTATATGCTACTTTTTAGAAACAGTATTACCATTTTATTTCATTTTTGTCATTAAAAATGTTATATGTAGTAGCACTACAATTAGCCTCTTTTTAATTGCTCAAAATTTGCTTTAGAAATGAATTAAACTCAGTGGAAAATAACATGGGAGCTCACTATTACATTGAGGTTTATTCAAAATGTTAACGAATGAGGATAAACAGTGATATTTCCCTTTGTGTTGTGGGGAGGGAGGCGGGCAAGTGAGTGGCCAGGAGCCAAAGGTGGAGGAGAGACATGCTTTTCATAATGTATTCTGATGTGTTTTTGGACTAATGCTTGCATGTTAAATTTTTAAAAATAGCTTTTCAAAAAATCTTTTAAAGTTGGACATTTTACCTTTAACAAAATCACTTTTCCAATTGGCAAAAATAAATTTAAACTTAAAAATTTGGCCCTCACCAATTCAGAATAGAAAGCTATCAATAACAAATGGGACTGAATTTTTGTTTCTGATTTGTTTGCTAAAGAAATTAATGTTGTAAAACTGGCCCACACTACATTTCAAACGATATAAAAGAATGGATTATTTTAAATCATTTCAGAAGCATACAAATAATATTTCAAATCAGATATTAGAAGCATACAAACATTTTAATTTCAAATGACCTTGGTTATAAAGAATGGCTTAGAAAAACTTCTACTATGTAAAATAGAAAACCTTTTTTTTCATAGGAAGTAATTTAATTGCTTTGTTTGAAATGTTTTCTGCCTTGGACTTTTCAGAAAAATATAGTGGCATTCACGTGTCACCAACAAGCTCACCACATGCTAGATGGTATGCAGTGGTCAATCAGAATTGGCCTCTTTTTATTTTTCCAGTAAAATATGGAAATAATCCTCTGGGCATAAGTTTTACATATTATTTTTTGGCTCATGTTTCCAAGAGTCATTCAATATTCATAAAAGCCTTTCACAAGTAGAGTTATAAAGACCCAAGATACAAAGGCCAGCAACACTCAGCATTTTTCCATTTAAAATAAATCTTTGGCTTTAAAAAAAAATTTTTAATTTTTATTGCATTTTAGGTTTTGGGGTACATATGAAGAACATGCAAGATTGTTGCATAGGTACACACATGGCAGTGTGATGTGCTGCCTTCCTCCCCATCACCTATATCTGGCATTTCTCCCCATGCTGTCTCTCCCCGACTTCCCATCCCCCGCTGTCCCTCCCCTATTTCCCCCCGACAGACCCCAGTGTGTGATGCTCCCCTCCGATGTTTTCATGTCCTTTGTAGGGACATGGATGAACCTGGAAACTATCATTCTCAGCAAACTGACACAAGAACAAAAAATCAAACACCGCATCTTCTCACTCATAGGTGGGTGTTGAACAATGAGAACAAATCTTTGGCTTTTTAATGTTCATTGTTTTTCATGCTGTTCATCTTCCTGAAAAATTCTGTCAAGTCTGTGCCAACCTTTTCTTCCAGACTGATCTGACTACACAGCCTACTCTGACCAGCTTAACTCAGGCATCAGGCAACAACTGACAATCCCACCCGTGTATATAAATAATGTGCATGTTGTGTTACTCATAGAATATTCTTTTGTAATCCATATTGGTTGTTTCTTGAATGTATATTTGGTCTCTCCAACTTATTGGATCTGATGGTGAAGTTTGAGTTTCCTACTTAAATCTTCTCTGAACGTATTCTCTTGTGTTACATTAGAAAAAAAAGTCTACCCCTCATGGTACATGTTGGGTGTTCTGAAGATGAGTAACACCTGGAGACTTTAAGTGGGATAATTTAAGGTTCTATTTACAGCACCTAGTACAGTGGGTGTCATATAGCTGATATTAAATGAATGATGAGATAGGCACATGAACCATGTTGTAGACAAAGAGCCTCTGTAAGTTACAATGTATACAGCAAGAAGTCAATTAATATTTCTTAATGAATTCATCCATCCATCCATCTATCCACTGAAACTATTTGTATTGCTTCTAAAAAGAAGTTACTCCCTTCTGGCTCCTTTGTAACCCTGAAAGAGCGCAGATGAGATTATGAGATTATGACTTTCTGGATTAGAATAGTTTGAATAAGCAGAACTAAACATGCCATGCAAATAGGGTTACAGTTTACATATTTTGTACATTACCTTGAAATTGTAAATACAATTGAATTGGTAGGAATTAAAATTACTTTCATATTAATCATTATCAATAATCGTTAAGGCACAATAAGTTTATAATACTTTTAGATAAGTAGAATACAGTCTTTGAAATCTGACACTTTGAAATACAGTCTTGGATTATGTTTTGTATCTGGCATATTTATCAAATTATCTTCAGAAGCCCTAGCCATAGTGGTCAAAGTTGCTTTGATTCCACTTATAAGCATGTCCATCCAGATCCTTTAAAATTCTACTGTATTAAGGCTCACGCTATAATATTTTCAACCTGCTTCTAAAATATGCAACCAGAACCTAACATATATGAATGCCCAGTGGTACTCAGATATTTTAACACCTTCAATATGAAGAAAAGGTTTTAATTTGTTTGTTTCATCAACAAGAAATGGAGAGCAAAGAGTGCGTGAGCTATGGGCAGAAATCAGCATTCTGGTGGCTGAGGACATGAGTACTTCAAAAGCTGTATGTGTCTATTTTTATAAAGGTAAACACTTGAAGACTGCCAATCAATTATAAGGCGTAAGAAAGTAACAACATATCATGCAAGTATTTAACCAGCAAAGGAAAATACATTTATAGGAATATATTTTGCAGTGACAAAATGATATGCGCTGGTATAGTTTCATGAGCACAGGATTTATTGTCCCAAGTTTCCAGAGCCCATCTGTCACTATGTCTTAGCATTATTATATATTACTTCAACAATGCTTAAAGGATGTGTGCTACTTTTGCTTTGTCTATTGCCAGATGTGAAATAGACAGCTGAGAATGATCTGAAGAATTCACGGTCTGCTATACATGAGGTGCTCCGTAACAATACAGACATATATTATCCACATGGTTTCTTTTCCCCTCTAGGGATTTGGTGAGTGAGAATGCTTCTAGG